CAGTATCCAGTCCATGCAAGTGTTGAAAAGTGTTGGTGCAAGGACACAGCCTTGCCTCACTCCTGAACTGACAGGAAAGAAGCTCAACAGGCCCCCACCACAGCACTTTCAGTACCAGTATTCAGACTTGCTATTAGCCCAATAATCCTTGTTGGAATTCCTCTCAGTCTCAGGATCTCCCTGACTGATTCCTGATGCATCGCATCGAATGCCTTCTTGAAGTCGATGTAGGCTGCAAGCAGCCCACGCCCGAACTCACAACGGCACTCTACAATGACTTGAAGCGCAAGGATATGGCCAATTGTAGACTTACCAGGAGTGAATCCAGATCACTCCAGCCTCTGATGCTTCAGTATATGTCTCAGAAGGATGTGGGCAAGAGCCTTGCCTGGTATACTGAGCAGTGTGATGCTTTGGTGATTGCTGCAGTCCCATCGGTCCCCCTTCCCCTTCCAGAGAGGGATGACCGCACTCCTCAATAAGTCTGGGGGAATGGTACCGGACCATCAGATGGCAGCCAGGACAGCATGCAACTCACGCGCCATGGGTTCCCCACCAGCCTTTAACAGTTCAGCTGGGATGCCACAAATACCCGCTGCTTTGCCACTCTTCAGCTTGGAGATTGCCCCCCTAACTTCAAATAGGGAGGGTGGATCCTCACTGATGGGTGGGTCTGGCAACGGAATCATGGCACTACCCACATCCAAGTTAAATGTTAGTGGGTCAACCTGGTATAGCTGCTCAAAATACTCAGCCCAACGCTCCCGCACTGCAACAGGATTTGAGACGATCTGGCCACTTACTAAGCAAACCGCTGTCACCTAGAAGAGGGCTTGGAGTTCAGCTTTCTCAGGGGTTGTTATGCACGACAAAGGTCATTTACTAAGAAATAGCCTTCTACCTCCTCTACAAGACCCCTAATAAACTGTTCCTTGTCCCTTCTTAACAGTGACCGAGTTCTGTGCACCTGAGAACAGTGCAGATCCCAATCCCCTGTCAGGCAAGCCACACGACAAGCATCTGTGGTATCCAGAGTCTCCTGCGAGATGAAATTCTGCCTTGCTCTCGGGCGTTCACCGATCATTACTTGAGCTGCATCAAGCGTTTTGCTCTTGAAGGTGTCCCACAGAAGTACAGGGTCCGTCAGATTGTTGAGCACTGCGAAATGACCAGAGACTGCTTCAGCAAACCCGGGCACACTCCCACTCCTTCAGCCTGTCCAAGTGAAACACCCTGGGGTGATCATTGGACTGCTGGAGAGTTTTGAAGTGGATCCGGAGGGTAGCCACAACCTATCTATGGTCAGTACCATGGAGGATCCTCCAACAAGTGCTAACGAGTATGTGGTCGATCTCCTTGGCTGCATTACCCACATTGGCTGTACCAAGTCCATCGATGTGGGTCTGGGCACTGGTACCAGGAGCCAGAAATCCTCAATTTCTGGGACCTAGCAAAGTCCCTACCGGTATCAGGTCCAGAACCATGGGGACCAACAGACATCTCATAGCCAGCTCGATCACAGCCAAATACCAAACTGAAGTCGCCCAGAAGAATATCACACCGTGAACACCTGTCAGACACAGATGCTAGTTTGGCGTAGAACATCTCTTTCACGTGAAGTTTACAAACATTGATAGAAGCGTACACAGCAATAAGAAACATGAAGCCAAATGCTAGCTTCAGTCTCATTACCATTATACACTCATCGACTGGAGTAACCTCTATTACCGAGTGCTGGAGTCTACTGGAGATGATGACCATCTCTGCGGCCTGACCAGTAGTACGTGTAGCCACCTACACTATACGGCCAACCACAAGAAATAGGATATGGCTACTGTAAACATAACATTGGCCTTTTCCTCATCTCTACGAGTCCTTCCACTGACGGAGTTTCCTCAATGTTTAAATGACAGAATTCAAATACTACTACATTCCAGAGGTATTTGGAATACATGGACAATTGACATAGTTTTAGATACTGTAAAATTAGGAAATTTTTTATATTACGTCCGCCAATTGGACATCGCCGATTTTGGTATCGTTGAATTCCTCTCACTCTATACAATGCAAATATGTAGGTTTTATTGCGTGGAAACCACCCAATAGCAACAAACTTGGCCCCAATAGCAGGGGAGGGCATGAAACGTTCCAAGGGAAATGCAGGGTTAAATACACTAATAATATAACCCACAATGAAAATACCAATGATAATTCACATTACTTTCCATTGAATGGGACTGCACCCCCTGCGACCCCCCACTGGGGGAGCTGTCACCCCCCAATCCCCACCAAGAAAACAAAGCATCCACCACATATTCATGGCAGGATAGAGTGTTACACAATTATAAAGGTATTGTAACTTTCCCACTGAAGCAGCATACAAGGTATACAATATACAATGAACAGTAGAGCGGTGGTGGCCTGCTCTCCTCAGCGGGTTTTACGCAGCTCTTGAGGTTACACCAGTAGCCTCGGATGATGGAGTGGAATGATAAATGTACATAATTAAGACTGCCAACAGATGGCAGTTATTATCCCATATAGTTACTGAAGTGACTATGTCGCAATCTATTGTATAAGAACGTCTTCTGGAACCACGAGATCCATGTGCATAACCAAAATAATACTGTATAATTTCCATTCTTCTGGAAGTAATAAGATACGTGTTCAAAACAGGTACTGTACAACAGCGATGGCTGAATGTGGAGGGTGCACCTACTCAAAGACAATCTTTATGCTTGAGGTCGCCACCAGCCGATGTGCTTCTGCCACGGCCTCCTTCGTCGGGGAAAAGCCTGCGAGCCTGTGGCATCTATCAATCAGATTGAGCGCCATAAAATTCCTTGGTTATATAATAGGTTATCGGCTCCACATCTAGTTCGTGTGCGCTCTAATCTCCCATGCACATGTAGTGGATGCTTCATTTCCTCGGTTGGGGGGCGGCAGCCCCCTGCAATTAAAGTACTGTGAATTAACATTGTTATTTTCATTGTGGGTTATATTATTAGTGCTTTTTAACCCTGCATTTTCCCAGGAACCTTTCATGTCCTCCCCTGATATTGGGGCCAAGTTTTCACTAACGGGGTGTTTCCGCGCAATAAGAACTATATATTTGCATTGTGGACAGTAATAGGAATCCAATGATACCAAAATCGTTGATGTAGGAGCAGCAGAGCTAAGATAGAAAATTACCTATTATTTAAAATTCACATAATATTCAAGCTAATCTGCTTTATGGAACTATTAAACAATTAAAACTGACCTCATCACAGCTTTCAAATACTTGGATGTTCACTTCAATTACGAAATTCACATCCTTACTATAGCATTTCCCTTAATTAAACAGGTACATGTTGAATTCTATAAACTTGCTTATCAGAATAGCCCCTTGTCTGATTTCTCGTTAATCTTCAACCAAAGTCAAAGAAGTTTATGGCTTAAAATTACCTTTTTCTCTCACAGCGGTATGCCGTTGTTTGTAAACATTGCGGTCGCCAAGGAACGTTCGATACGGCGACATCGTGCACAGGGAGAATGTTGTTGTACTACGGGGATTATCGTGCTTTGTTTATATTATTATTATTATTGTTATCATGACCATCAGTAGTATTGTCTTTATCGTTAACATTATCATCGTTAATTATCATGATCACCATCACCATTAATTAGCAATGATGATGATTCATCATCACTCATCATTGCTCATCATCAATCATTAATCAATCATTATCATCATCAATCATCACCACCATCAATCAATCATTATCATCAATCATCATCATCAATCATCATCACCACCATCATCATCATCAATCAATCATTATCATCAATCTTCATCATTTGGGGGGAGATGTGGTTTGGGTGGTATGGGTGGTTTCGGTGGTTGAGAGAATGAGGTATTTTGGGAAGGGGTTGGGGGAATATAATGGGGTAGAGCAACTGAGTAAATTGCAGTGTATCTGTGACTGGGGAAGGAGTTGGGACACTGATCAAAGAAAACAGAGGTGGAAATTGGAGAAGTAGGAGAAGAATCCAGGGGTTGAGAAAGGGAGACTGGGGAAGGTGCTGAAGCGCTAGGAAAAATGCTTGGAGAGGAGGGGTCCCGAGAAGGACACTGTTGTGATACAGAGGATTCGTGTTAGCATTTAAGTGGTAGACATAGTGGGGTATGTTGGGAGGGTGTGGGAGGAAGGGGGGTGGAGGGAACTTGGGAAGGAGGAGAATGAATATCTGCAAATACTATGCAATACTATGCTATGCGCCCCCGTCGGCGTCAGCCCCCATGATGATGATGATGAAATACTTTTAATGTAGCAGGAGTAGGAACAGAGATATTGAGGGGGGATGAAGGAGCGGAGTGTTCCTTGGGTCATCTTTTGGAAGTTTTGGATGTCTTCAAGGGTTTCTGGAGGGGAATTTGGTATAGAGGACTGAGAAACAAAGGTTCTCTTATAAGGAGGCGAAGAGGAGATGGATATCTGAGGAACAGATGAAAAGGAAGGTGAAGGAAAGTGTCAAGTGAAACATTTAGCTTGTCTGGTATGACAACTAAAGTGAGGAAGAGGGGTAGATATCTGGGAATGGGTAGAGACTGGAGTATCTGGATTTAAGATAGAAAATGGATTTGACTGGTGGATAGAGTGAGTAGACATAGGACATAGGTTTTGGGGTATAGGGAAAAGATACCTGGGGAGATGCAAAAATATCTTGTGTAGATGGTGAGGGGAGCAGAGCATAGGACTGTTTTGGAATAAGTTGAGAGAAAAACCTCGTCGTCGTGCTTCCTGTCTGGCCTCACGTAGAGTAAGGCCTAGTTTAAATCTGAGGACTGCTACCTCACATTCAAACTTATAGGCAGGGCAGCTCCTATAAAACACATTATGGGAGTCTCCACATTTGGCACATGTACATAACTGAGCAGGGCAATTTGAATGGTCATGACCAGGTTGGGCACATAGAGGGCAGTGGGCTGTGGAGCAACAATGTTTGGCTGGGTGGCCAAAACGCCAACAATTTTGACATTGATGAGGAATGGGTTGATATTGTCAGAAATGGTAAGACAATTCACCAATATAAACCTCATGAGGGAGGTCTTGTCTATGGAAGTTAATCTTGGCAATATTGATGTGAGATTTACGTTGGGAGGAAGCGTGTAACACTGTACTGCCACTGCATCATATTCATCAAGGCAGGAAAGTAGGTCATTTTCACAGTCTGACCAGTCCTTGTTATACATGGGACAAGCATTTGGGGGAATAGAAACAGTTCCAGTACAAATATTAAGAGTTGGGTGAGGTTTGGCAGGATTGGGTTTGCCAGTAAGCTCAGTTAGGGCAGATAGTGCATGAGCTTGAGCTTCAAATGTAACCGTGACAAGGCATGAACAATCAGAGCGACTACGAAAGGTAACCTTGCCTACTTGTTTCTGGAGGCACTGCTGAAAGAGAAGGGTATTCTCAGAATAGGAGGTTGTGGGGGGAATCACAAAGAATCGATCCCACTTGACTGGGCCAAATAGAGTACCCAGAAGAATTGCAGAGGTACAGGTAGTAGAAGGACAAGGGCGAGAGGAAGATGGGGTGGTATGAAGTGGAGTAGTTCTGCTGGGGGGAGGACAATAAGGATGAAGAGTAGTAATAAGGGAAGAGGGGGTTGACATTGAAGAGGGTTGTGCAGCAGGGGATGAAGAGGAGAATGTAGGGGATGAGGAAAAGGTATTTTCCAGGGGTTGAGTAATAACCTGGGTGGGTGTTTCAGAATGGTTAGAGTTGTTCGTAAGTGTCAAAGAGGGGGTATCATCATCAGTGGTCGAAGCCATGGGCTAAGGAGGGGCAGGGGTTGGAAAACCATCAGAATCTAATTCAGATTGGCTATTTGGTGAAGGGGCAAGCCTTAATGCCTCTATCAAGGTTAAGGAATCTTCATTACTGGCCATGGTGAGCCTGAAAATTAAAGGGGATTAATGGTCTAACCCAGTGGCCCACGAGGGGTAAGGGCTTAAAAGGGTAAGAGAGTGTGTGAGTGTGAGTGTGAGTGTGAGTGTGAGTGTGAGTGTGAGTGTGAGTGTGAGTGTGTGTGTGTGTGTTTCTTTTTACTTCAGTTCTCGTCTCTAAAATAAATACATTCAACTCATATTAGAATTTGCTTCAGATGTGCAAGTCAAGCCAGTGGTCCATACAATAGCTACACTAAGTAGTAAGTGGGGAGAATGAACCTTGTTCAAGTGAATACTTATCCTGTATCATTATTTTTGTTCATTCTAATATTTTAGTTTCACAAGATATGTATTTTGCACATATGTTTTGAACCTCAGTTGCAATCTTTTGTTACACTGAAGCAAAATTTTTTCTTGCTCTTAAACTTTAACAGACCTAAGCCTTATTCTTAAGGCCAAAGTCCTTTTCATATGTTTAAGTAGTTATGGATAGCACAAAAATTACCTGTTATATCCCATGATCATATATTCATCTGTGGCTAGATATGTACAGTAATTTTTTTTTATTACATTTCTTATTTAAAATATATTTTGAGAAACACAGGTGGCATTTCATTATAAGGCATTATGATAAAGTGTAAATAATATAAATAGTAATTATTCAGTGTTTTATTTCCATAACTTACCAAACCTTATTTTTACCTGATCTGCTTCCTGTTGCCTTCTAATTGTTGATGCAAACCATTTTTTATTTTGTATAAGTTCCATGCCATGGAGTGTAGGGTATAGTTCTTTTTCTTCCAGATAATGCAAAACCCTGATTCAAACTTATAAATGAATAATAAAATAATTCATTTACACCATAGAGTGGGATAAAAAAGGGTAATTTTGCTCTCCACAGTGCAATAATAAGTTTCTCTCTTGCACAGCATGATAAAAAATCACCACATACTACACTTTGTGTAGCATGAAAATGTCATATAAATAGGTAATTAAAAATGTTTCTGATTGTAAAGTCAACAACTATGGATAATCTGAATAGCTATTCATTAATTCAATATAATTAGAAAAACAAAATCCAAATCTATCTGTTTAGCACCCAATAAAATAGATAAAAGATATAATATTACAAACTTTTACACAGACAAAAGGTAATTGAGATATGTAGGAGAAACTTTTCATTTATTCAAGGTCACCAATAATTTAAAAAAGCATATTCATTACAGAATCAAGTGTACATACAATTAAAAATGCAAAACTATGAGTACAAGATACAAAATGGTGGGAGAAAGGGTATGTAGACGACAGTGTGAGTAAGGGTTGCTGCCGAGGGTGGTTTGGGAGTCGGGTCAAGTGTGAGGCCTCCCTGAGCCCGATGGAGGACCCCCAGTCGACGGTGCCCGGCCATGGCAAACAGGGGGCAACATACATCCTTACCAAGGACATTCCTGTCAATGTGTCTGAAGTTGAGATTACAACTATGAACTCACTGGGAGGTTACAGGCATGGTTTTCTTTGCACTAGTACAATGTGCTCCTTGGCCAATGTTTGCATAACTTGACAAGCATGTATTTATGCAGCCCTGGAAGCATGGCACCAACCTCTTAATATAACCCACTACTCACATGCCCACCACATCACCCACATACAAAACTCTACAAATAAGCTTACTACTAATACAGTGTTGATAAACATGCAACATGTTAAAAGTGTGTACGACTGAAATCACAGGTTAGGAGACCAGAGGTGGAAAAAAGATACAGTACGTAAATTTCATCCTATGAACTTTTTAATGATTCCCCACCCATATCATACGCACTATGGCGTAATGAAATTCTAATTTCTTTTTGACAGGTTGATCCAATTAAAATTTTTAAAATTTAATTCATTTATATAATTCTCAATGAACAGTATCCCCACAAAGGGACTTAATATACTAATAGCAGTACAAAGCATACACAAGATTGCAGACAGAGTAAAACCATTAACCTGGAGTACACTTGCCAATGGTCATCGTGTCCCAGCAGCAAAGGAAGAGGTAGGAACACATGGATGTCACTTGTGTGAGGTGACCGGCTGCTGTGCATGCTGCTGACACCTTAGACGTTTGGCTTGTCGCCCCTTACTTGCCCGGTCTGTTTTTTAAGATTTTTTAATGGATATTTTTGTGTGTTTTTTTAGGTGATTTTTTAATAATTTATATTTACTTTTTATTCTTTTTCACTTAAGTGGCCTGCCAGCCATCACCAATTTCTGGGCAGTATTGATTATCAGTTCTTACTAAGTGGTCATCCTACATTCACTAAACGACGTTTCTTTGTCCCTGGGGTGTTGCTAATGGCAGTGTTTATCAAAGTTGATAGGTCCCCTATGCATTTCCAATAATAAAAATGTTTCTGAAAAAATTATAAACCCTACACATTCACCATGCTGGCAGTGTGGAGGCTCGCATCAGAAAACAGGGGTGGACAGCCGTTGCAGTTTAAATTTTACTCCAGTGAAAAACGTGCACATTTGGGCATCCTGCCTAGTGAGGTGTGGCAGGCCTAGAAGAGAGTATTTCTTGAGCCTTGCAGTGATACTGATATCTAGGGTCCCTCCACTGGATCATACCTTGACACATACATCACTTTTCACCACCACCTCCGCTACATATCCCCGGGAGGAGCTGCTGCTGCTGCACACACAATTTACTGTATACATCTTTTTTATTTTATTTTTATAATAATCAACAGCAAACAGAGACACTTGTTAACTTTCATATCTTCAAGCAATACCATGATCAAGGAAACTTATCCACTCAGGTTCTACTTAGTCATTATTTAGATTGACAGTCTTTATCAGAAATGACTAAATGAGCACACATTGGTAAAAGACTGGACATGTGCAGAGGAGGTGGCAAATCTTGGATACACAGTTTATATGCACAGGAAACATATCCTCTACCTAATCTCCAGATTCAGACGGAATGTTTGCATACACTGACCCAGTCAACAGCATGTGTATGGACAATTCAATTAACTTTGGCTCTTTCTTATTTTTATTATCATTATTTTTAGAATTATATTATTTTGTTTTTGCTTTTTCCAGTTCACTTTGGTTTTCAACCTCACACTTTAGGCTAGCTCTTGTGCCAGCAGATCAGACATGAGGTCCAAATTTTGTGACATGTACAATGGAATGTGCTGCTTCCCAGTGGATGCCCGCACATTGAGAAGCAAGAAGTATCTAGACAGGTACACATACAGAGTCCCTTCTCAAGGACTGGAGTCAAAAGAGCAATACAACAGCCAGGCACGTCATTCTGTTGGCTAAGGTCATGTCTGCTTGTGGACTTGAGGTTGCTGTAACATGAGACAGCCGAATCACATGTGAAAGGTGGTACCAGCAGTTAAAGCCTTGGTCACTTGTACTTGAAAATTATTTTGTGAATGGTAGATGCTATCAAAGCAGGACTGGAACCACTGCAATCTGTGCTACAATTCTTTGGCGGTGGCATGACTAGCAAGATCCAACAATGTGTTTCTCTGTATCACAACCAGTCCATGTCATGACCTGGGAACCTCAAGCTCATTTGTACTTTGGACGCACACCAACATCTTAACTCAAGAGCCTCAAAGATCAAAAAACTTAATGCTACACAAGTCCCATGGCAGTAGGAGGGCAAATGTGGCCAGAACTCACAAACTGTCAGACAATACTGGATGAAGGACGATTTTAACATATTTTGATCCTTGGTTGAATATAATTTTTAATTATTCACTGCTTGCACATACAACTGAGTACATTCATAAGTCTTGGATTCACATGAAGATAGTTTCAACAGCTGCCCCCTTATCCTGAGTCAACCAGTGGTACAGATGACAAAAAGCAGCAGATGCCTCCACTTCCTCTCCAGAAGGTGATGATATCATGGCAGTGCCTATGGATGTGTCAAGCAAGTGAAAACCATTATCCACCACCTCTCCATCAATGACTTCCCCTTGGCTTTCGCAATCAAGACGATCTGGTGGATGGTGACACCTTACTTGAATGATGAGCCCCTTTTCCACCCCGTCCTTTTCTTGGCCTCATATCCTCGGCTTATATGTGAGGGAGACATGCACTCTCTGGACATCAGTCTCTGTGCAGTCATGGTCTGTGAGGGAAGGGGAAGGGTCAGGTACAGGCGGAGTTGCTCTCCTGCGTGGGCTCGACATATAGTCTCCCGCGTGCGGAGGGGTCTTCACGTCTGCGCTTGACGACCTTCCCCTTGAACCTTTCTGACCGTTTTCCTTGTCCTTTTTGCTCGAGGATCGTCGGACCAATTTCCTATCCTTGTCCTTGCTTGAGGTCCGTCTCACTGAGCTTCCCACGTTTTCACTGCTGCCTCCACCTGGTGCAGAAATAGGGCGTATATTACTATTACTTAAACTTCGAACACATGAAACATCATACATCATAATGTACCAACAATATCTGACAAGTCAAAGTTGATGTATACAATTCAATAAAGTTTGTAATTGCGGAAATGTTGAAAAATTGCTTGAAAGGTTATGGAAATTAAATATCAAACTTTTCTACTACTGAAAATCTAACAATAAACAAGTTATACTCCTATCCAATTCACTCCCAAAAATTTTGTCAGTTTGAGATGAAAAATGGTTAACCAACAAACACAGAGGATCCATAAATATATCCAATTATACCTTCACTCAAATACACACTCATGAACACTCATACTCAAAGGCACAAACCAACATGCACATACCAATATACACATGCAAGCACACACAACGATAACCATAAGACCTTCAAAGTTTAAAATACTTTTAGCCTTGTCAGCCCGGACAATTCAGAAATCAAGTCCACACCTGAGGGAGGCCGATTGATTGAGCCAGATCGGAGAATATAAACTGCATGAGGCTGACACTCTACATCCACTGGTGTGAGAGGAGTTCCATGTGGGGAGTGTGACAGGAACCACTCGCTTCTTGTGCGCATTCGTTCTGTCTGTCTCTCGTGTACCTGGTGGATTGCACATAACAAGAGGTTAAAATAATATGCACTGGCTAGCTGGTTTTACAAGTAATTCTGGTGTTGATTGAGAAATAGGATTTTATACATGAGATTTTTTCCCCCTTTTTCATAAAGTTTGAAATTAACTACAATAGAAATTAGTATCCAGTATGACATATTCAATATTTCAATATGACTTGATTGAATATATATATATATTTTTTTTTATTCCATTAAACTGTTCCAATGAGCATTCCACCTAAATATAATTCATCCAGTATTTCTTCAACCATTCATTGAAGTATTAATCATATATCAAGTATTCTATTACTATATATCAGGGAAAAGATAAAATAAATATAAATAAATAAATAAATATTCAGACCCACTTTTCCTCTGGTATTCTCCTGAACCCATTGCCATAACAATAATAAAACCAAAATTTCTTCTTTTTTCAGTCACAAAGAAGAACCATTTTCATTTCTATAGCTACTTATAAAGACATGCTTAAAAATCACTGACTGAATTCTTAATACCTACTGCTTGTGCATACGTCATTCACCTCTGATGTAAGAGTTGCTCAGTGCTTCTGTATTCTTGTCACTGCCTTAGAAATGCAGTAGGTAATTCTTCATACTTAATATAAAGATACTTAAATATATAAAGGATTCAGATACTTAACTCTCTACATCTAGATGATGTAACCTGTATTCTTACATATATTTGTGTAAGTATATGTGTAGAAATTTTACATAAATCTGTTTGCTTCCAAAGGGTATAATGAAACATTGTATTTCTTTTGTAATCTGTATCATTTGTTGAAATTTCAAATTGTAATGTATGTTCAACACAGTTTGCACAGAAGACCAATTTTCTATAAATTTTGTATACTGACTACCTGATAATTGTAGAGAGAAAGACTGTTTAAATCTTGGTTCCCTTATGAAAAGTGAGACCAATTCCTCATAAACACTAAAAATAATACAGGAAGCAAAAAGTCTGAAATGTTTCAAGTTTAAAATGACTTTTTCAAGCAGACACACAAGTAGCAATAATCCCACTTGGTATTCTTGCCAGCAGACTCTTTTACTTCCACTATCACTAATCTTGAGTTGTTTCAACTATTTGTTCCTTTAGCTTATTACTATTCCTACTCAATTCCAAATTTTCACAAATTTTCTCATCTGCATTTTGTTACACAATTTGCATTTTATAAATACCATCACCAGTCATACTATAGAGAGCATAACCATATCCAATGCATCATTCTGTGACATCACTCTGCCTCCTGAAAAACATCTCTTGTAAGTGACAATAAACAAACTATGTCACTAAGTTTCAATGCATTTGGGAAGTAGTAATATTTCAGCATGTTTTGGCTTTATATCTGTAGCCTGAAGTAGCTTGATGAGCAATACCTGGTTCTGTAAACTCAGCCTGAGTACTGGAAACGTTTTTAAATTGGACATGGATTAGTAAAGAGTAATGGCAATTTTAAAGTCTATGAAAGCATTCTTCAAAGGCAGTGACACAAATACACAACACTAACATCTCATCAACACAAAGGTAAATTCCTAATCTGTTTACCTATCTATATATGAGGTATAATACCAAACATGAATGGGTATTATTCCCGACCCCCAATTCTTAACTTTGATGCTGGAAATGCAATTCTCCAGAAAACATATACTTGAGAAAAATCTTTGTGGAATGTACCGGTATGCATCAACAGGCAAGAGTAGAAAAAAAATTTAGAGTAAAAAAAAATAACATATTTACATAAATACTAACATGCATGCTTAAATACATAAGATAGCGCATCATAAGTCTGTTAAAAGGTCTAAACTGCACTAAAAAAATTGAAGAAAATATTTGGGGCATGCAAAGCAGATTGGTATTAGTAGCTGGTAAATTCAACATAACTACAACAGACAGACAAGAAGGAAAAGACCCTCTCATACCCGCACACTCAAGTCTTATATAACCACTAGTTGACTCTGTCATTTTTTCTTTTTTTTCTGAATGTTTGGATAAAACACTTGCTTGACAAAAGACAAAATGAACCTGGATTATTTGCCATGTGTAGAGAAAAATCACCTACACGTCACAAGAGCATAATTAGAACAAATGTAACATTGTACCTTTGATGGAAAATTATCGTCAGTGCTCAAAATCACCTCCTGAGTCTTGTAAGTAGAAAATCAACATGCTATATGAATGTTCTCTTGAGCAATGGTATGTAGCCAGTGTAGATTCAATTGTTCTTAAGGCTTACCAGTATTATAAGGCTCTAAAAATGTCCAGTCTATATTTGTATATCCACAGTATCAATGAAGTTTATATCTTCAGAACTATCTAAATTGGCATACAAAATATAAATAATAATAATAACAATAATGAAATCTTAATACAAATTCTTATATTTACCTTGTAATGAGAGATAAGTGACAAAGGCTGTCATAATAATGCTGCTGGTCTCAATACCTTTACAGTACTCTCAACTCTATATAAATTCCTGAAGTCAGTCATGTATTTCAATTTGAAAAGATGAACATGAATAAAATAACCCTAAAACAAATATATACTGTGTCTACTGACTAAATATCTTTCACATAATAGAACAGGCATTTGCCAGTTTCAATGGTGCTGTTGCAGTGGACTAATTCATATTCAGATCTACTATTGAACTAGGCAATCAAACAAACAAATCAAATTGATAATTGTACAAGATACCCTCTTCTAATATACAAAATACAATTTACTTTAAAAAAAAAGTTTCTATTCCTATCAATTAAAGAGACATATATTCATGCTACTTCTAAAATTACTAACACTTAACATGACGGTTCATTTTTGCAATCCTTTGTAATCAGTAAATTATAATCTCTTTTTTCTTCTACAAATGAAACAAAATGGGTCAATATGGCATATTCAATCTGACTAATAAAGCTAATCTTCAATACTGCTGGGGGCTTTCATTCATATCTCACAAAGTATGAAAAAAGTAGTGACAAGACTCCCAATAATGTATCTCAAAACCAGTGCAACCTTATGACCTTGCATGAACTAATAAAAAAAAGTAGTAGTATGGTGTGCTTATATATGTATATCTTCTGAGGGAGAAGGACTCCCATCCCGCTGACCTGTGGCAGGTAGGAAAGGCTCTTGGTACTCTCTGCGTAGCGGTTGACTTGCCGCAGCTCATCCAACGTCATGTGAAGAGCGGAGTGGGAACTGCCGCTGCTGAGGTCCTCCCCATTACCCTGTGACACACCACACAGCAAAGCTCTCAGTCTTCACTTGACACTCCATGCCCATGGAGGACTGCACAGAAACTCCCATTCAACTTCATACATCCTCAAACACCGCTTTACTACATCCCAAGCACGCGAGGGAGCACCTTATGCCAAATACAGGAGATGAAACTACTCACTACACCCAGCTCTTACAGCTTATGCTTTAGCAAAATGGTTTTATAGCAGGTGTGTACCAATTTTTGCATATTTTCTCCGATACTAGTGTTTATCTTTTAACTATGTTTGCTAGTTTTACATTTTCTTTCATTTGTAGTTGCTATGTTAGTCCAAAGAAGACTATCAGATTCAGGTTCAAGCTGAATCTTGCACACTATGAAATAAACTGCTCTTTACTTTTAAGAAAAATGTCAAGTATTTTATTCTTTATTTCATAAAAATGTGTCTTACTGAACTGCATATCATACTTAAATTAATCATTAAAAATTCTCAAACATATCTTTCCTTCCTTCAATGGCATGATAATTTATGAAAAAACAAAAACACACACACACACACACAAAAAAAAAAAAAAAAAAAAAAAGACTAACTCAATGGTGCTAGGGATTAAACATTAACCACTCAAGGATATGACAATCAATCTCAAAGAGAATCCAGCCGATCACTCTCAGTCTATAATGCCCTCCTCTCTGTAATAATTCATTACCTGTTCATAGTTCCTAAGGAATAAAAGCTTCTATGCTCTTAGGAAAGGTTAAAGGCAAGACGTATATTTAACCTGTTCTTTACTGTATTTAACCGGTTAAAGGCAAG